ACTTGTTTATGATTTTTTTAATACACATTGGTATTTGAATAGACGCAACAGAAGTCTCACAACATTGTTAGGCATTTCCTAAGGCTCCTTTGACTTATGTTGCGTCTATTCAAATACCAATGTGTATTAAAAAAATCATAAACAAGTTGGTAACCTATAAATGACGTAAACATGAACGATCGAGAGAAGTAAGTGCATCTGACAAGCGCGACAACTAATAAACTCTACGAGGTTACAGGGGAGAAAAAGACGAGCCTGATTGTTTCCTACTGCAGAAATCGAATATTTACTTAAACGTTTGAAGGAATAGTCGACAGTTATTTTCAAAAATTACTACAACACTACTACCATTTCATATTACTATCGAAACGATAAAATTGAGAGTACAGAAGACCCGTAGTTGAAATCGCATCATCTACTCCGACAGTTTTCATTGGGAATTTGCAGACTAGCACCGGAGTAAATATAAAGAGTACTTGATCACGCATCCATGAGGCTATTGGGCTGAAAAAGGGTCATAAAAACTATGAATGTTGGGCAGAGGAAATGAATAACTAAAAAATTATAACACTAATGGCAGTCCACCGCTGCTTCAATTACGACCCTATTAGTCCAACTTCGGCCGATCCTCTTCCAGTCATAACCAAAATCCATCTCTCAGGAAAAACTCGTCCAAATGGGGAAAAGGGAAGGATCGTAAAGGTTGAAAGAACAGAGCTCTCACTTTAGGGTGATACACCAGTTGTATTTCCTTCCCTCGAAACAGTAACGGCTTTTAGGCAGCTGATTAGACGTAAGTATTTCTGCCCTTGCGGGTCCGGCATCAACTGATTGCCAGAGATGGGTTGCGCGTTTGGCTCATGTAGGAGCCGATCAGTGAAATCACCCCACAACAGTGACAGCAGCGCCACTTGTCATTGTCATTACATTACCTCCGCGTTATTACATTATAATTTTAACTAATGCTCATAACAGCTGGTTTGAAGGAGAATAAATGAATGAAAGCGGTTAATGGAATCTCAAAGGTTGTACCAACTTTTCTTTCTGCTACAGTAGGCGAATCCCATAGAAACGCTCACATCAAAAGTACTCACTTATGTGCGTGGAAATGGTACATTTTCCCTAGCTTCTTATCAAGAATGAACGATGGAGCAGTTCGCACTTCCAACATGTCGGTTTCCATGCGTGCCTGAAACGGCGCTATGACAAACAGTCGAGATAATTTCATTCAACTTTGCAGAAATGTAAATGTAAATGTAAATCGTGCCTGATTCACTAGATTGCATGCCATTCGTCCAGCAAGACGTGAAGATGCTGCTAAGCCCGACGCAAGGTTAGACCAATCATTTCCAGAGCTTACCTGGAAACTCATATTGCTAGTCAGTCTTACCATATCCAAGGTAGACTTTTATGTCACTAACCACCATCTGGTAGGTTAAGCACTGGAAGTGAATCCTCTGAAGACGATATCCATAATTTTTTGAATTTGGGTTCATTCTGTCTCGTCCAAACGTCCGAAGCAGCCAGTCAAGCATTTCAACAACCTAAATCATTTTAATACTCACAACTCTTATACCAGTGTAACAGAGCCTGGTCAAAGACAATAAAACGATTTGGCTTTGAGAGCAGGTGGTCAAAGATAACAAATTTAGGGCGCCGTTTGCCTTGGCCGTTGAAGAAAAGAGCGAAGGAAACCGCCGGAAACTAACAATAAGGGTTTTCTGAATGCTGTCTTTACTTTCCAGGCAGTTTTAAGCACTGTAAGAGCGGCCTCTTGCAGTACTGAGTGCACCTATTCGATTGCTTTAGTGACGATTCCACAATTTTGGATCAAGGTACTTCGGGGACAACACTTCACTAGGGAGTCGTCAGACGTGGGCGCTTATTAAAACGGTTTATTCGCATTGATGTGGGGTTCACGTCATCGGAGTACCAAAACTGCTCGTGTTCATGTTTTCGTCTGACGGGCTCTATTGGGAATGCCAAAAATGGAGTGAAAAAAAGTCCATGGAAACCGACTGTTATTGAGCCTGAATGGGCTCTAAATCACTCGCAAGTTCGGCCAGTTGCTGCCTATAGGGTCCTTATAAAGGTTGTACTGGTATCTATGAGAAAAGTGGTCGTCAATGGGGTCTTACTTGTGGCACGTAGTTAAGAGTCGACGGCCAATTCGAATGGGCTCTTAAGCAATCGAAGTGGTACCTGTGCCAACGATCGGATGGCCTAGTGGATAGCGTGGAGGATTCTCAAGCAGACAGTGGGGATGGGGATGATGGTTCGACTCCCCTCGGCTTGCACGTTTTTGCATTTTTTATTTTCCGTTGTTGTCGCTTCCATGATACGGTCCTGTTGAATGATTTACTCGGATATCTGCCATTTATAGGCACATCTCTAAATAGTTATAGCCCCGTAGTCGGTGCTATTCAGCAATTTCGATTTCACATACCATTAAGCAAGAACTTGAACTTAAACTTTATATGTTATTCCATGCCCTGATCATGACCGGTTGACATTTACTTTCAGCTCTAGGTGCCAATTTATCTTTCCAGTTTGAGCCAAGTCTTTCTCCCATAGGAGTCGCTTATGTACCATTCTTTGAGGGAATGTGCAGGGGCCATTTCTGAGCGCAGATTGGGACTGACGTCAAGTAATAAGGTCAGAATTCAGGGAATCGGTGGATCAGGACCATCGATTACCCCTATAGGCAAACTTTCAGCCAAAAAATTTTTTTTGACTTTTTTGAGTCTGTGCATTGGGTTATGCTCAAGAGTCACTTTGTTGAAGTCGTACTTTTGCTGGTTATCGAAACCCTCATTCAGTGGTACGGAAACAAAAAACTAGCAACAACCATAAACGCCATCGAAAAAAGAACAAAATAGTCATCATTCCTCCAGGTGCATTTGAAGAAATCGGATGAGTCTCTCCTCTTGGTAGGGGGAGGACGACATCTTCGTTGAGCGAGCCGTCGCGGGGGTCGACAAATGTCCAGGATGGTTTTTCACTTGTTCTGCGGCCACCCATGCCCATGCCAAGTATGAATGGACCTTATGAGCACCAAATCCGCGATGCGGCTGCCCGGCGGCCCACCACGTCATCGCTACGTCATCGCAGCTCCAAAGTTGTGGCGTCTTGGGCGGTTCATCACACGACCAACATGGTCGGTTCTGTCACAAAGCTTTCAAAAAAGTCAAAAAAATTTTTTTGACCGAAAGTTTGCCTATAGGGGTAATCGATGGTCCTGATCACGATTCTGACACTTATTCTTGACATCAACCCAATCTGGCGTCAGAATGGCCCTGCAAGTCCCTCAAACGAATGTACATAGCGACTCCAGTGGGAGAAAGACTTGGCTCCAAATTGGGGACTACGTGCCACAAGTAGGACCCCATTGGCGACTACTTTTCTCATCGATACCAGTACCTTTATAAGGACCCTATAGGCAGCAACTGGCCGAAGTGCATGTGAGCCGCGAGGTCGCCGAAGAGTACTGAGCGCTGTGAGCGAATTTAGAGCCCATTCAGGCTCAAAAACAGTCGGTCCATGGACTTATTTTTTCACTCCATTTTTGGCATTCCCAGAGGCGTTCAGGAAAAATGAACACCAGTTTGGTACTCCATGCACGTGACCCCACATCATGCAAAAAACCGTTTTCAAAAAGCGCTCCACGTCCTGAACGACCTCCCTAGTTAGATCTTTCCTCGTGGCAATAAAGCTAATGGCTTCGGCCTGTTCCATTCCAGTTAGCGCTGGGAAGGGAGGAGAGGGTAGAACGTTGGTTTTTTGATACTGCCTTTTGTTAGTACATGTCAACTAACCGGTATAAACGTTGCTGGGACTCTTGAAAAGCTGCGATATGGTTTGAATGAGCCAATTTCTTGCAAACATTTACAGGGCCTCAGAATGGTCTGCACAAGCTTTGCTGAGTACAAATGCCTGCCCCCATCAAGCGGAACTGTGCCCTCGATTCCCCCAAAACAACCACTAAAGTTGGACAAATGCCATTCCCGCACAACGTTCAAAATTTGTCCCTCTCACTGCACCGCCAGTACTTCTTATCTGTGCGGGATTAAAGGCATTGCTACGTCAGCGCCACACGGCATGCACTGTAAGACTCATGTTGTTCACAGAACCTATACCAGGGGAAGATCACGTGAATTAAGAGCGACAAGAATGGTGGTAAGTCACAACCACTACGGCTGAACGACTCAGTTCAGCTTGAGATGGAGGAGCACCAAATGGTACTTAGCGAAGTCAATTCAGGCCACTTTGTAAATACCAGTCAAATCCGAAACCAAAGTGGCGAAGTCAGAAAGAACCAACAAAAGGAACTAGCGAATGTGCAAAATGCCCCTTCCAAGCGGAACAGCGTCTGGCTGAACTTTTGAGAAACTCACCTTGTGTGCATGTACGGTACCGGCCTGTACTGGATACTCTTCCATGTGTGGTCCACCAGCCACATGTGATAAGAACGCTAACTCTTGTTCATTGATGCCCAAAGAGTCCACATGAGGAATAATCTGAAACATTTAGCAGATGTGGGAAAACTTGTAAATGGGGCGAAGGGGGCAGAGCAGGAGACACGCTGCGCCGACAAGGCTTGCAAGCAGGTCCGGATAAGTGCACCTCATCGCATCAGGACCACAGTGATCTGACGCGAGAGTATGACGGTAAGTTGAGTTATCTAGCTAAGAAATACTAACTAGTAGCCACTCGTCATTGCATCGTGAATCTCCTGACCTGCACATTGTTGGTTTTTATCGGAGATATGGACAAGAAAAAGCTCACTCTATGAAGAATATCGAACATGAAAGTAGCATCAGCAAGACTTCCCAATTCGAAATGGATTGGCGTCTGGAACAAACAGGTTCTTTTTCACCAAAGAATACTACAAACATTCGGTATTACCTTAGACGAAATTTGGAGAAGATTTCGCCGGATCATCCGCAGTTTCTCGAGACGCATTTCTTTGTTCTGAATATCTTTATGTTGAAAAGCAACTCCAGTATGGACTAGGGCCTACATGAAACCAAGCGTAGGTCAGGACTCCCAATTAGAGCCAGAGAGCCTCGTTGGGCAAATTGTGGTATAATCCATTCCATTCCGATTAGTACCGAACGATGAGAGCAAATTGGCTATCGCTTCAGAGCTGGGGGGAGGTATGGTGAGTTTGGCCTGCGATCGCCCCAGTCTGCTCGCTACAACAACTAGCCGAGCGCGCGTAAAAACCAAATATCAACTGGTGCAAGAACAGGCGTGGCGTCATGCAGAAGACCCTCGCAGAAGCACCTGAACACGACCGCGTGTATGTCGCCAGAACGCTGTATAAACTGTATCCGATAGCTTTCGCCGGCCCAGTGCAGCCAGGTACGTCTATGTCCCGTCGTGCTGACGTCCGCGCGCAGTCTAGGACGCCTATCGTAATCGGAATCCTGACCGCGTGCCTCCATGACACTGACACTGGAATTGCTATATGTATGTATACAGAAATGATAAATGTAGATCTGCGTTTTGAAATTGAGGCAGTATGCCTTGGAAGGAACATCGCCATCACGAACGCGTGCTTCAACTGAATGACAGATGAGAGTAATGATTCTGTCTGGCAAGCTTCAACCCATGCCTCAATTGCCTGTGAAATTGTACAGTTCTACCACCTTATTCTTTTTGTTGTGCAATTCTCTCGCATTTCTCCAAGTGAACAAGTAAGCCGGTGGAAAACGACTGACCATGAAGATGATACCTAGCAGTCTTGCCGCTTATCCGAAAGTAAAAAAAAAAAAAAGCAGGGGTTGGCAAAAGTGCGCAGCAACGGAGATGATAGCGCCATCGCCCCCAAACCAGTAACTGTAATCCCTCAGCCCGGAGAAAGGTCTTCTTCCCAAAACGCTTCTCATCCCTCCCCAACACCACCTCCACCCCCCCACAACCGTCCCGCGGTAGCCAACAAACACACTAACCTACATCACCCACACCGCATGCCATAACTGTGCTGGAGAAAGGGATTGCCCCTCTCCCATCAGTTCCAAAATTCAGCGAAATTCCGAGGGGATAAATTTCCTGATGATTTAAGAGTATAGCACGTGCGTAAGCCAAATCGAATATCGTTTTATAAAATAAACAAAATACCTTTTGTTAACTGGTATGAAATTACTTATCAAAAATACAAGAACCAATACGAATGAACTGAAATTGGTCGTGACTTGTGATGATCGGTACTAACTGGGAGCAATCCGATCCTCCCGCTACGACGTTTTCGCGGCTCCTCTACGGTCCGTTGCTTGTATTCAAAAAAAATCACATGAGTGTCATCCTTAAAGAAACGTTAGCATAATAAGGAAAACACGAGAATACGCTCCAATTTTCCCTCGGCGGCGAGCACTTGGGACAGTGGCAACACGATGTAACATAGGTTTACCTATCACAACATCAAAAGCTCACCTTCGTGATTCGAGTTGAATTCGTTCTTCTGACGGAAGGATTCAACAGTGCTTGGCTTCTAGGGCCAATAGGACCAACTAAATAAACCTGCAAAAACAAAAACAGCACTAATCAAACACATATCCTCTCCAGGAATAGAATTCGGGCTAATACTCCTTACTGACCTCCGTGTCTTGGAAAACGGATGCTATCCTTTCGGCCATAAGGGCCGCATTACCTCCGATGTGATATTGAGCTCGAGGTAAGGCTGACTCAACTTGTCGGACAACCGTTTCAAACGTGCCTTCAGAGGACATATATCTGTAAGTAGTATCTCAAATTTTGACCGCAACTCTGCAGGGATCTCTAGACGGACACGAACTTCTACTCAGGGACAACTCGGTAGTTACCACAGTCCCACTCAGAAGATGATTTGAGATGAAAAAAGCAGTAGGCCTACATAGTTGAACGTGGCCAAGCAGTGGCGCGTCTTCATTCCTTCGCTCTGCGAGTCCTTAGGCTCAGGAGGGCGCAGACGACTAGAGTCGCGCAGTCGCGCACTCTCCCCTAGAAGAGACATAGTCGCGCCGCTTAGTGGCCCCACTTCGACTAAGTTAGCAGAAGGCAAACGCATAGCCTAATGAAGGTGATTATCAACTTTACCTCTGATACACATACCTTTCAGCAGGGGCACCTCGTTGGAAGAAGTGTATAAATGTCTCGTGTAGGTCAGAGAGTGATTCGAGATTCTCGTGATCCTTGCCTTTTTCACAAGTAGTATTCAAGTTTTCGATGATTTGCGTCCCAGAAACAATAACGTCCACATTGCAGTTGAATCTGCAAAAACAGTTTAAAAAACCCTTTGCGACGAATACGAAAAAATGAAAAATCTAATGAAAAGAAAATGCATGAGTCGCCTCCTAAGGGTGTCGTCTGTATATTACGCGTCCGATCTTACAAAACATCATTATAAAGGATCTTACAAAACATCATTATAAAGAAGTCTGTAAAGGGGACTTACCCGACAACTGCTCTTCTGAATGGTATTCCAGGCTTCGCGATGGCACGATCCCATGCGAGGGACATGGCCCGCTCCACCGAATACGATTTCAACTGATGTTGCTCATGGAAATAACTGAAAAATCAAACATGAAAAACTTCTCATTGTATTAGTTCATGCGAAGGTAGCTACACCCTAGTTCGCTGCGGACGGTTGGGCGTGTCAGGCAGTATGAGTGTGTCACCCGTCAAGCCGTTCTCTGCCTTCTTGTTGAAGCGCGCATGCGACAAAAAGTGGTAGAAAACGAGTAATACGAACGATATGATACAGTCATATCACTTGCTCGCTTTAACAACTGGTGGAGAACGGGTTTGGCACCGCGCCAAACTCATCCCGCCTGACACGCCCAACCGTCCGCAGCGAATTACACTATACTTTGTGCAACAATCGGCAGATCGACAAACTGAGCCCAATTCAACGCAGCGATGGGTCGTCATATTCCGGGCAGAGCATATCATAGTCGAGCAAGAGGGGTCGTAAGGGACTGAGAGGGGGCCGACTACGGCCTGGTTAGAAACTTCTCGCAGTCTCCGCGTCTTCTTATGCCGCAGCTGGTAGCGTCTCAAATTCATACATCTAATATGACCGTTGATCGTTGTTCCTCGTCCAATCAACAGCTACTCGTCGTGAAAGGATGGGGGACAGATAAGCCGAGTAATTTCAGCGAGAGCCCTTCTGTCAGCTTTATGAGTGAGTGTGCCGCTCCTTTTCGTTTGACTGCGCCTGTACCTATTTCCTTCAGATTCCATACCCTATTTCTTCTAATCTGTAAAAACTGCTCGAAGCTATAATTTATATTACTCCCAGGAACTGCTTCTTCTCCTCTAGTATGAACTGTCTAGTTTTCGAACTCTTGTCATGTTGTAATACTTAAGCTGTTATCACTGGTGCGCCGTACTATGGGAAATTACTCCATCTAATGTCACTTACTCTAAAAGTAAATGAGATAGTGATCGTGTTTGTACTTTTATGAGCGTCGCGCGCAGAGCGGAGGTCAGCGGAAGATTCCTTGACTTGATGGGGAGTATAGTTTCCTAAGGTTGCGCAGCGACTACAACGCAAGTAGCGGTGCTCGTTTGACAAATCTGTCCAGGGCTCTGCGTGCGTGAAGGGCATGCACCCCTTTCGAAAGATGCTACCAAACACAAAGTCACACTAATGAAGGCATGATTGAGAGGGCGATATCTCCTGTAGTTGATTCAAAACCCTCAATGCCATCTTCGGATAAAGACCCTTTTGTCTGACCAGATAGAGAGCAGAGACTCTCAGCTTTGCAATGAAAACCTTTCAGTAACGCACCACCAAAGACGACGAAGCCCACATGTGGGCTAACTGCGGGGGAGAGGGTTTAACACGGTCAGGAAGGGAAAGCTGCGCGGATCCTATCTGTATGAATGCTTCAAACTGAGAGAGCTCTGATCAGTAATGGTGCATCTGGACACCCACAGAAGGAGCTCACATGCATCTGCAAATTTAATTTTTTTTCTTCTCCCTTATGTGCTTTGTAGGCCGCGCCGGATGGCCCGGCGTTTTTATGTTTTGCTATGACTCACGCCAGCTTTTCAGGGCGTGACGTGACGGCAGCTGGAGGCTTCAGAGTCGACCATGTGTCAGGCACGGAACCTGCGGCCAGTTCCTGACACCTTCCACGGGGGCGACTCCCCGTTCACGAAATGATCTCAGTTTACTGTTGCTGGCTCTAGATCTGATCTTCTTTTATCGTTATGCTTTGTATGTTTCTTTCGATCGTTTGTAACACACACAGTGTTCTATGTCTTCTCCTTATGTTTTGAAGATAAACTTTATTTGATCAGGAATCTAGAGTGACACAGAAGGAGATTTGTACCTTCCCTGCGGGCGCTAGCTCTGGCTGCTTACTCGGTTAAGGTGTCGAACACCAGTTTTGGCAATCCAGTTTATATCACGGCAAGTCGATTGGGAGCGTCAGCGATGTGAGTTTTAGCGCAGCTATGAGCCTATACAGGCTATGCAGGAAATGCGGATACCATGCGAGGAGAGAGACAAGACAAACGTAAGCTGTCGCGCAATGATACGCGGCCCGCACGACTACGCGACAGCTTACGCTGGTCTTGTCTCTCTCCCCGCGGTGGCAAACGCACTGTGTGTCAGTGAGTCAATTGGAGCGATGAATTCAAGCAGAGACAAGGCACCATGATGAATGGTATCACATTCCCCCGTCCCTTTATACTCTAACCATAAGTGAAACGGCCACGCAGGACAACTCGCCTGTAGGACGCGACGCCGCCTGCCACGCCCACCAGCACGGCATTCTACGTGCCAATCCACGACCCTTAAATGCCCTGTGAGTTTTCTCACTGTATGGACTGTACGTACGTAGTGATAGCACTAAGTTTACGACCTATTCAGCCATTCTTTAGTCTATTACACTGACAGCCTCGCGAACGCAGCAGGTTCAACTTTGAAGAAGAACTGTAGCTGAGTGGATAACGCAGCAGCGCGATCCAAATATGTCATTCTGGTGCCCTCAAGACGAGGCGCGCGGCTGCACCTGCTGCTAGTCTCTCTCTCAAGTCTGATTCTGGGAAAAGGACACGACAATTCCAACGCCCTGCTGCGTGCCCCACTCCTCATTAACAGTGGTACCCACTAAAGAGAGTTAACAAACCTGTAGAGATATGGGACGATGAAAAAGAAGAAGGACGCATGTAGAAGGCGATGTTGAGGCGAAAAAATGAATGGTACCCACGATTCGATGAACATCACCGCCCTACCACATCAATTTCTAGAATAGTTAAACTATATTAATCTAAAATTCGTTGGATAGCTAACCCATAAAGATTCCGATACTGAAGTGTGGGATAAACACGAACATCATAACACGGACGAGATCTCAGAGCATTGAAGCGCGGCAGAATAACGTGAGAGTCACTCGACGAATGATGTTTTCAAAAGGAATCACACACATTACGAAGGGCTTATCATGGAAAATAACTATAGAAAAAAAAAAAAAAATAAAAAACAAAACAAAAACATTTTTAGCGGTTCTCACACCGCTCACCGGATTTCAACCGATAACGAGTCCCCATCTCGCATCGATCGCTATCCCCACGAATTATACATGTCGGCCAGCCTGAACACATCTGCCTGCCCCTTGCCGGTGTCTGGCCAAAACTGCTATTATATCCGCATTCAATGTACGGCCCCTAAGAGAGGGCGTGTCCACCCCTTCCACCCCTCACCTTAGGCTGCGTTTATACTTTGCGGCAGCGTAGCGTAGCGTAGCGTAGCGCTTCCAGCGTACGCCAGCGGCAGTGCCGAAGAGAGGATGCATATCATCCATAGCTTCACCAGCGTCACCAGCGGCACGCTGGCGTACGCTAGCGTGCGCGTAGGCGCCACGCACGTACGTGCCAGCGCACGCTAGCGCACGCGCGTAGCGAGGCACGGGAACACATAGCTATCAGATCTAGCTTCACTCGAGCCAGTTTCTCGAGCGGTTTCTCCAGGACGTCAACACCAGCGTTTGCTAGCGCTTGCAGCGGCAGGGAGTAGAGACTATGTGGCCGTGAGAGACGCAGAAGCGATGTGCATTGTAGAGACTATGTGCCCGTCGAAGACGCAGAAGCGATGTGCATTGTAGAGACTATGTGCCGTCGGAAGACGCAGAAGCGATGTGCATTGTAGAGACTATGTGCCCGTCGAAGACGCAGAAGCGATGCGCATTGTAGAGACTAAGGGCGAGTGAGAGACGGGCAATCGATGTGTTTTGCCTCCCCTCCAGCTCTCCCATAGTCTCTACTTCCCCTGCCGCTGCAAACGCTAGCAAAACGCTGGTGAAACGCTGGAGAAACGCTGGCGTACGCTAGCGTACGCCAGCGTGCCGCTGGTGACGCTGGTGAAGCTAGATCGATATGCATCCTCTCTTCGGCACTGCCGCTGGCGTACGCTGGAAGCGCTACGCTACGCTGCGCTACGCTACGCTACGCTGCCGCAAAGTATAAACGCAGCCTTAGAGGTGAGCGTCGCAACCAGCAGCGTATTTACGAAGTGCTGTTGATTACGACGAGAGACGCCAAGACGCCCAGTCGCTCGAGCTCTCCGTCGCGTCGCAGCCATGACAACATAAATATGCAGCCGCCACCGCCGCTGTCCACAATTATTTTCGTAGACACGCCCCTACCACGCGCAGTGACATAGAGATATGACGCGATAATGACAGCGATGTGACACAGTGACATGAATAAATATAGAGGATAACGAACGGATAGTGAATGTTAGTTGTCGACCAATTCCTTTTTTAGGCATTCTACTCCCATTCAGAATCGTTCTGCTTCACTGAATGCAGTATTGCCTATGCAATGATTTGTAGGGGCTACCGATGAGCAGGTCACTGTTCCTACCCTCAAAGGTGAGTTTAGAACTACCGGGGGTAGAAGGGATAGTTGACCCGGGCGGGAGCCAATCTGGTGTTCGTCTCCCGGACCGCCCAGGACCCGTAAGCGCCACTTGCCGCTACGCCACCTCCGCCACAATGACAGGAATACAATGAAAAAATAAGATTTGAATGCCATCCATACAATCTAGAGAAGCCAAAAATCCATGCAAAAAAATTTGATAGATCCGAAAATAGCTAAAACATTTTTCTCTCCAGAGACTCATCAGCTTTTTTTGAATAGTTCCGCTTTCTGCGATATATATACGCCCTTCTGGGTCTTTTCTTGATGGGAGCTACGTAACCAGCCGTTATTTGGAAATCCAAAGGAAAGAATAAACACGGTGCCTAATCAAACACAAATATATACACGAAATAAACACGGGGGGTGGTGCTAGTCCCGAGCTTCCGCGACTGTAGGTGGCTGCCCGCCTCAAGATTTGTGGAGTACAACTAGCGCCTCGCATCAAACAAGTCATCAATCTCAGCATCCTAACAAGACTAAATAGGTGAATTTTCGCATCACCCGTTAAGGAGTCCCCGTCTAGGTCTCCATGATTGCGCGCAAGCAAGGTGACGAACCTCCTGAGGAAATATGTTTGGCTCCCCCTT